CTGCGATGTTCTCAAATGAGTTCACTCATGTGTTTGAGTTATGGATACAGAGTGCTACTCTCGTATTGACCAAAGAGGAGCATACTTTCCAAAGTAGAGGATACATAGGGGTTATGCACTAGGAGGTTTTGGATACAGGGAATATCCCGAGGGATATACAATATATCTTCCCGAGGGACCGAAGGGACCAAGGGAAGATATATTGTATCCCAAGGGATATTTCATGTATCCAAACCGACCGTGCATAACTATTGTATTCCATACCTGATGAGGTTTGAAATAATAAGCATGTATCCCATATGATCTGGTGTGTTTACTTATATGTTATCATTTTCAAAAAAATTATTTTCCAAATTTCTTTTTCACATTTTTTGCATAAATTTTCAGAATTTTTTTTCAACATTTTTTCAAAATTTTTTTACATAATTTTTTACAACTTTTTATTTTCAATTTTTTTTCGAATTTATTTTTAACATTTTTTTAAAAAAAAAATTCAAAATTTTTTTTCGAACGGGACATACGATTTATATGTCCCGGAGCTCCGTTGGAGCAGGACATACAGAAAATATTTGCCCGGATATGGAATATATTCCCGGTTGATATGTCCCTGAGACCTCATCAGGTATGGAATACATAGAGGATATCCTATGATTTATGAGTGATATGATTTTTATCCACGAATGGATATGATATCTGCACGAGCGAGCGTAGCGAGAGAGTGCAGATATCAATAACCATGAGTGGATTAAAATCATATCACGAGTAAATCATAGGATGTTCTTTTTATTCCATAGTTAAAGTCATCATCAGAATCGTCGGAAATTAAGTCTTTTAATTCGAATTTTCCAAACGATCTGGCAATGTTGACACTTAGCCTCGTTTTGAGTCTGAAGTAGCAAAAATCCATTAACCATCGCATACGACGTCGTATGTCATGGCTAAAAAACCGTATGCTATGGTTAAGTGAAAATTTGTCAAAAATATCATATTTTACCACTGATTACAAAAATACCGTTTTTATTTTCACATGTTATCCTATGAATATCATGCTAACTATGGAATAAATAGGAATATCAAATGATGAAAAGCAAATGTAATTCCCATCAGTTGCTGCATTTCAACTTTGATATGGGATGTACAAATTGCTTTAAGTCTGTGAAACTTTCTGCTTTGAATGTTGCCCCGGGTACCATAGTAACCATAACTATACCCGAGTTTTGTATTTTTTGTCAAAACTTTGCGATTTTGTGACATACAGGGTGTCCAATAAATAAGGTGAAAGATATTGTAACTTTCTTAATATTGCACCGATCTTGATGAAATTTTCAGTTTGTAGCCCAAACCTTTTCACCCTTATTCTGTGAATATAAAGCGTCTTCTATATGATTGGCCAGAGTTGTGGTTGCTATAGCAACCGAAACAACAAAAAGGCGGGGCAAGTTTGTTCACGTCGCAACTTTCCAAAACATATTTATTCTTTCTGATAGCTTTATTCATACTCCCAGGTCTATTACTATCACAAATACAAAATATAAAAACAGTCCTAAAGTCCCATTGTTATGAAAATAAGCTATTCAACATAATGTCCATCTCTAGCTATACACTTAACTTCTTATGCCTATTCACCCACTCTCTAAACACACTTTCAAACCCATTCTTGCCCATTTCCTGAAGTCTTGCTAAGACATGTGATCTGAGTTCATCAGTGCTTCCAAATTTATTTCTTCTCATTAGTCACGCTTGAGTTCTGCATATAAATAAGTCATGTGGTGCAAGGTCTGGGGAATATGGAGGGTGTGCAAGTGGGGGTAGCCCAAGTGCCCTAATAGTTTCACTATTGAGCATAGCTGTGAGTGAACTCAGACCACATGTCTTAGCAAGACTTCAGGAAATGGGCAAGAATGGGTTTGAAAGTGTGTTTAGAGAGTGGGTGAATAGGCATAAGAAGTGTATAGCTAGAGATGGACATTATGTTGAATAGCTTATTTTCATACAATGGGACTTTAGGACTGTTTTTATATTGTATTTGTGGTAGGAATAGACCTGGGAGTATGAATAAAGCTATTAGAAAGAATAAATATGTTTTGGAAAGTTTTGACGTAAACAAACTTGCCCCGCCTTTTTTTGTTTCGGTTACTATAGCAACCACAACTCTGGCCAATCAGATAGAGGACGCTTCACAGAATAAAGGTGAAAGGGTTTGGGCAACAAACTCTGAAAATTTCATCAAGATTGGTGCAATATTAAGAAAGTTACAATATCTTTCACCTTATTTATTGGACACCCTGTATACATGAAAGTACATTATGTAAAATTTTGAAGAAAATTGGTCCATGTTTCACTAAGAACCAGCACTAATCCTGTTACTTTTGGAACACCCTGTAAATTCAAGTTGAATTGGGTCTATATTCATTAATACAGTGTAGTTAACAAAGCTGCTGATGACAAAAGTTAGATTAGACAAACACCTACTAGCAATAATTAGGCCTGGTACAATTACAAGATAGAGTAACGTTGATAAAAAAAAAGTACACCATTAAACTGAAAAGAGAGCCTTGTGTAAAAGTTTATTTCTCTTTCAGGTTCACAAGACCCTGGGTAATCCAGACATGCCAGACTAAGGATAAACAGGACATTCAAACTTTTGTATTTTCACAATACTTATATTGTGCTTAGTGTATATAAAATACAGCAGTCAAAATCATCGAACAAAAGCAGAATAAGGTGTGCTTCTGTATTTCATTTAGAATATAGTTCGAGAAAAAGTCTCACTGACAGGTTGTCCCTAATTAATTATAATATAGCTGGTGTAAAATATCTACAGATACAAGAATCAACACATCTGATTATTTATTTTATCTGATGCGTAAAGATGGCATTACATACATATTATATAGGACTTCACAAAAACACTTTGACTGATCAATCTATTTGTCCAATCAAGAAGGTACCTGCAGAAATCAATGAACTCAGTTATAATTATACTTCGATCAGATTGTTCCTGTGTTGAACTTTAGTTTCCCAGTTATAACCTTATATGTTAATTTTAAAATGCCAGAAACCAAAAGATGTATTGAAAGAAGTAAGAATTAAATTACTGTAGATACACTTATTTTGACGCTACTTAATTTGACAGATTTGCTCAATTTCAAATATTTGTGGCTATTTAATTTGGCGGATTCGGGACTAAAGTTTAATTTTTGTAGATATCATTAGGACAGGTGTTTACGAAGATATTTTCTGTATTTCTTTTGGAACTAGACAACAGCAACGCCAAAGTGTAGCAAATCCCATCAAACAGCCATGGCTGACATTTTTACAAACAAAGTATATAGCAAAAATGACCACCTTCTACCAAAAGTGCCATTAGACAGTGGGCCATGCTTACAGTATTCACATACCAAATATGAACAAAATCCCTCCACTACTTTTCGAGTAATAGTAAAATACGTTAAAATGGTAACTTCTACCAAAAGTGTCATTTGACAGTGTGCCATGCTTATAGTATTCACATACCAAATATGAACAAAATCACTCCATTACTTTTCGAGTTACAGCAAAAATCATAAAATAAGGAGTAGATGCAGCCATTTTTCAAGATGGCCACCATGTGCTTCTTTAATATCTATATTTCGAACTTTATTAATGTCCTTTATATTTTTTTTACATTTAAACATATTGCTATTACAGTTTTGCATATTGCACCTAAATTACTTAAAATCGGCACTAAAATGGCCGCCATTTTTAAATGAGCGACCACTTTGAAACTCCGATAGGGTATATGTGTACAAAATATGAACAAAATCGGGCCAACGGTATTTGAGTTACTGCCTGGACGGACGGACGGAGGCATTCTCTATATCCCTCCGAACTTCGTTCTTTGGGATAATTATGTAGATTTGAAGACATGTTGACAGGAAAAGGGGCCCTGGAGTTTAATTTCTGAAGTGCATTAGACAAAAATTCCAAACTGAAATTTGATGGATTTTTAATTTGGCGGATTTTCTGAATCTGCAAATCCGTCAAATAAAAACGGGAGCCAAATTAATTGTATCTACAGTATACATCTTCGTACAATTTAAATGATGGTACCAAGGAGCAGCGCAACTTGTTAATACTTGCCCTGAATGCTTCTTCTCAACCTATAACCCTTCACATGGTTCTTGGCTATTTTCATTCTCTCCTTTTACAGATTATCAATCAATAATATAATTGCCAGTGGCTTTGCATAAATTTGGTGTGAATGACCTGAGACTTAATATAACATTAAATCATGATAACATGACATAATAATAGTAGGGTTATGTATAACTGAACTTGGGACAGTTGATTGAAGTTGACTATTTTGCGCTTGGGTGACCACACCTTATGGGTAAACAAATAAAAATTGGTATCAGTCAATAAATGTTCAATTTAGGTACATCAAATGGTGTATTAGATGACAAAACTATTTTATATAGCTTTGTTTGTTAAGGTATTTTTGTCCTCTATGTTGCTACATTATGAGGGTGTCCCAACACTCAACAGATTTCTCATTTCCCATGGAAATTACTGATGGTGAAATTCATTTGATCATTGAATTATTGGGTTCACTATTCTACACCTGATCACCCGTCTTGGTGAGGTTTAATTAATCTCATATTTTCAGAATTTGCTTTTGTTATGTACAAATCAGATCAATAATTTGGCTCAATGAAATGCATTATTTCTTCATCCATTTTTATTTATTTATCATGATCTTAATATCAAACTACATGGTTGTGGTATGCCCAACAGGGTGTCATCCACTTGAATACATATTTCATACTTTTAGTTTTGGACATAAATAAATAACATACATCTTGAACTGCTTTGAAATGGATGTTTTAGCTTATTTGAAGATAAATTAATATTCTTACAATTTTATACAAAAAATGGTTTACCATAAGTATATGGTTTGATCAATCATATCTCTATCATAAAGTAGTTCGGTGATGTAATATAAAAAATCAATTAATTATTTAAGCGTCTACGGTTTCAGTGGGTGCATCCTGGATCTCATTTACCCTACTCTTCCTGGTTATAACACGCTGACAATATGAAGGTAAACATTTAATCAATTCTGTTCTCAATGATTTGTTAAAAATTAGATACACAGGTGGATTGATGACACTATTCATACCTATCAAAGTTCCAGCAAACAAGTATAATGGTTTAGGCAGCAGTGCATCACGGTCAATGATTAAGGATATCAATAAATATGGTGTCCAGCAAACACAAAATATTATGAATAGTACTAGTAATTGTATAGCTAGTTTAATATCTGTTCTGCTCGTTTTCTTTGGGGCTGGTTTTGTCCATGCATTTGTTACACCAGCATTTTGGCTTGATTTGGTGTTTTTGTTCTTAACCACATGTGCCCCAACTGCCTTCGCACTTGCACGGACAGTCTTATAAATATTCCAATAGCTAAACATAATAGCATTTGATGGAACAAGAAATGCAAATATGCCTAAAAAGATAGTATAGCTATCACTAGCAGTCCAGTCAAACACACAAACATCTGATTTTTGTTGGAAAATAAATGAGCCCCATCCAAGTTGTGTTGGCAATACCAACAATATTGCATAGATCCACAGTATAGCAATCATTATAGCACATTTTTTCCATGTGAATATGCTTCTTGAAATATTTGTGTGACAAATTGCAAGATATCTGAAAAAGAATGATGAATTGATATAAATAAATGTACAAATAACAAAAGTACAAAGGATCCAACTTTAAACCAGAACAACGGCAACACCAAAGCGTAGCGAATCCCATCGAACATTTTTCAAAAGGGGCACCTTCTACCAAAAGTGTCATTAGACAGTGTGCCATGCTTATAATATTCACATACCAAATATGAACAAAATCGCTCTACTACTTTTCGAGTTATAGTAAAATACATTAAAATGTCCGCCATTTTTCAAAATGGCCGCCTTTACCAAAAGTGTCATTAGACAGTGTGCCATGCTTATAGTATTCACATACCAAATATGAACAAAATCGCTCCACTACTTTTCGAGTTATAGCAAAAATCGTAAAATAACGAGTAAAGGCCACCATTTTTCAAGATGGCTGCCATGTGCTTTTTTAATATCTACATTTCTAGCTTTATTAATGTCCTATATAATTTTTTTATATTTAAAACATATTGCTATTACAGTTTTACATATTGCACCTAAATTACTGTAAAATCGGCACTAAAATGGCTGCCATTTTTAAATGAGTGGCCATTTTGAAAATCGGCTTTCGAGCAGAAATTCTACTCCCATAGGGTATATGTGTACAAAATATGAATAAAATCGGGCCAACGGTATTTGAGTTATTGCTCGGACGGACGGACGGACGGACGGACGTACAGACGTACGTATGGACGGACGGATGGACGGACGGAGGCGTTCCCTATATCCCTCCGAACTTCGTTCGATGGGATAATAATGACCACAAAAAGTATTTGTTCTCAAAATATTAATACATAATTACAGTATTACATAGTTTAGTTTAGTTTATTTATTTATGGTGGTCAGTCTTAAAATTCAATTAAAATATAAAACAATCAATTTCAATTTTACCCAGCCCACCTTGGGGTTATTAACCACTGTTAACAATTTAAAATACAGATTTTATACACAAATATCAATAAAATGTTGAAAAAATGAAATTTAGACTTTTTAAAGTTTACCTGTTCACTGCAACTGTAGAAATGTTGCATATAGAGCCTATGCAGCCCACAGCTAACACCAGTGATGTTCCCTGACAGTAGGCATCTATCTTAAATGTTACACCTCCTGTAAGTTGACTGTCAATAAAAGTTGGAATAGTATTCATAACTAATAAATCATGTATACATAAATTTATGATAAAAATGTTATGCACTTTTCTCAATGCTTTGATCTTTAAATATGCAGCAATAATTGTAATATTTCCCAAAGTTCCTGCAATTACAAATATAATTTGTATTCCTATCAATAAATAGTTGGGATTTGGTTCATAAAATCCAACATATCCCACAGAGGCATTGGTATTATTTGCCATATTATATGATATCACTATTATCCATGTATGCAGTGGTACAATTCCTTAATGGGATGAATGTCTGCTGTCTTTATTATTCCGAAGTTGTTTCTGGCATTTGCTGATTTAAAAAAGCTCCCATATATGATATATACAGGAGAAGATGTAATATTCTTGAAAAAATTAGCACATTGACTTGATGTAAGACTCGTGTTTCAAATTAATATTAAAGTAGAATCACACTGCATCAATGTCTACTATCTCCATGACAATGATGATTTATCTATTTTTGATCATCAGCACTCGCACCCTTCCATTAGGGCTTTTGTGTAGGATTTACTATATCTACCTAAGGAGAAACAGATTCCATTCAATCCAGTTCCCTGCCAAAATGGTTCAATATTCTTATATATATATGTGTTATATATATAAATAGATTTTACTAGTTCTTTCATTTTTACTTTATATACATACTTATCTTGCTGTTTCACTAATTTCACTAATTACAACCATAATTATATTTTTTTTTAATTGCATTTAGTAATGTTGACTCTCTAATGCAAGTAAGTTCTATTGAATCCTTAATTCGTTTAATAGAGGGTAGACAATTAATGGAACTAATGGAGTTTGGACAACTGGCATTAGAAGTATTTGTTTTTACAAAGTGGCACTAGTGCACAGTACTCATGTCAAAGGTGAGTCCATATAATCACATAAGGATATACCATATTCTCTAATTAATGTGCACCCCACTTTTCCATGAAAGTCCTTTGCAATTTGAATGATAAAAATCAAGAAAAAAAACTTGGCAATAATATGTTTCATTCACTAACCATGATCAATTGAGCTGTTTCTGTAAACACAAACATGTCCCAAGCAGCTTTAAATGACTATTTATAAATAAATTCATGATAGCCTAAAAGTGATGTGTTAAAAGCTATAATGAAAGTTAATTCTGAGTATCAGAGATCTTGTCATGATTAGACGCTTACAGTGCATCATGAAAATTTCTGATTCTGACATATTTTCCTGCCTTTTCCAACACAAACAAACCATTGTTCAATTTTTAAATGATTTCTCATCATATTCTATTTAAGTACTACTTTAAATATTTTTTCTGACTTTGAAGACCAATCAGTGACAGAAAGCATTTCAATGTTGACTTGGGTATCAAATCACCAAAATGGTAGTTTACACAAATGAGAAGTGAATATTTTCATTGATAGTGATGCATCAATATTAATTCACCAATTAAAACAGATTAATTGATCGATAAAAGCATTTGTCGTTTGAGACATCTCCTACAGGAGAATAAGTCACACTGTGTATTTACCTGAGAGAATACGGTATTAAAGACAAAAGAAGTTTGTGTTTAAGTTAAGTAACCAGTAAGAGATTCACGAGACAATGTTCATGGTGTTTATTCTAAACAAAGGTGTGTCTATCAAGATTGTATTTCAATTGACCCAAAGCATAAAGATTAATCTATATCTCATTCACTATAATGGAGAAAACATCATTCAAAATCTTTAAAACCATTGTAACAATGTTATGTATATCTTGGAAACCTATGACTCTCTAGGAAACCAAATCATAGCCCAAACAGAAAGAATATTATTGAACGTTGAATACATAACATATTAGGAATCTATAATCAATGACTTAGACTGTCAAAATAACTCAGACAACAGGAAATGACAAGATAATCATTCAAGAAAGAATTATTGCAATTATTTTGATATAAATGAACTTTTTGGATTGAACTTTGTATAATAGTGATAATCAGATTCTTTAAAGGTTTTTTAAGATCATAGTTCTTTTATGGTCTGGTTCAATAAAGCGTAGGCTCTTATTGTTAAGTGACTGTTTATTCTATGTTTTTGTGTTGCTGGACTTGTGTTTTGGAATCAATATTCCATCATATTTAAAGGAGAAGTATGTTTGAAAATGGAATATATGTGTATTAATACATTGTAAGTGATCAATAATATCACTAGCCTCAACACATATTTTGCTATAAACTTACAGACTACCATTCAAAAGGAATCTCAAATTTTGATACATCAGAATGTACAATCACAAATTTTAAATCAGGATAAATGGGTATGATACACCCATGTTTTTACTATTATCTCCAAGTGATTACACCCATATACCTATCTAATGATAAAGTGTATATTTTCTATGTTCTAAAATGAAATGAAATAAAAAAAATTAAAATGATAGGGCAATGACTTTATTTTTTTATAGTTTTGTTATATGTAGTGAAGTGCAACAAAGTAATCCTTTATTCAATGGAGTTATGGTAGCATTTCCTCTTGTGGAAGTGCCTAAGTCAAAAGACAATATCACAAACAATGATCTAATGTATAAAAAACAGACTGCAGCAACAGAGGCACAACTGTCACAGCTTTGGAAATTGATCTTCACTCATAATAATTGCTGCAATTACATTTTTAATGAGAATCTCAAATTAATAGAGGAAATTAATGGAAGGAAAGTTGCCCGGCAATAAACTATTGACAAATGTTTCTTGAGTTTGACAAAAATAAACCTCACCCAGAGCAAAAGAGTATTACATATTCAATAAGTATGAAAAAAGCAATAAAAAGTGCTTAATAGTGCTTAAACAGGAAGAGATTTCCCAGTCAAGCATAAGCAAACATTTTTCCCCCAGATTTTTTATGCAAAGGAGAGATGCACTGAAAACCTTTTTCTTTAATTTCCATATTCGGAAATTGTAATACCAAATGGTAACATTACTGTGACATAAACTAATTGTAATTGCAGAGGATGAAAAATTGATTGATACCATAATAAAGATAACTTAACTCCCCATCTTTTAATTTATTACACTTTGACATTTCCATTTGTAACCCACCCTTTAGGTGAGTATAAACATCAAAAGGAATATTATACTATTTTTTAGAAAGTGTCTAATACCAAATCAATTCAAGTACCAATATCAGTCTGAGACCAGATAACTTAAGGAAATTTCATTCATACTGGTCATAACAATAAATGTTGAAGAAAAAATTTCAAAATGGTAGTCAATGCTCAAAACATCAAAAATAGTTCACAAGAGTGTTCAATCAAAAATGACATGGGACAGACAAAATCTAAACTCAAAGTCCATAAGCATGTCAAAGGGTCAATCTCCATCTGCAAAGCCATCGTCATGATCCATATATAAAACACAACATTTAATGAAAATGTTTAATGAAAAGATAGATGTCATCACTGAATAATACTTTTTGAGTCACTTGTTACAATATGTTCACACTACAATGTGGAGTTTACAGAGAAAGTACCCCACATATTGTTTTTCATGTGGGACTTAAGTGGGTCTGCTTCCTGATCAGGTTGTTGAATGAACACTATGTTTGGAGTTTGCTTCAAAAAGGGTACTAAGCTAGAACCAGAAACAAGACAAAAAGACAACTTAGAACCCAAATGATATTGACAGATTATCTATTAAATTGTATATATTTCCAAATCAGGTTTGGGCTTTTGAGTTTGTTTTGTGTTTACAATCTTACAATCTTACTTGATTTTGATTTTTTTGCAAATACACAAAACAAAGTATCTACTCATTGTCTAACTGTGCCTACTCAAGCGTAAATAAAAGAATAAAATTTTAGTCTCAAAATCTATGAGATTCTAAGACACAACCACAAAATTTTCAAATTGGTATCCTGAGAAAGGTTTCTGTTAATCATCTTGAATCAGTTATACTCATACATTGGAAGTAAATTAATAATGAGACATCTATATTAATATACTGTCTGTATTTTACTTTACAGTCATATTCCCAAATGTTACAAAACAGCATTTCCATATTTATAGATAGTTCATGATTGTTTTGAATATTTTATCGGTCGTATTTAAAATGCTTTGATGTGAGATCAAGTTTAATGGTTTGAACTTATCTTTTTCCAAAAACTAGAACCAATTTTGAGATTTTCACTACATGACACTCATATTTAAATATTAAAACTTGCATTGTACCTTTTTAAAAGGTGAAATGTTTGCTTTAATCTTCATGTTTATTTCTTCTAATGAGAAATAAGCAATTGAATTCAAATGTCCACTCTATTATGCTGAAGGTCAATATCAAAAACATAAATTTAAAGTCAAAAGGGTTTGCATTTGATGGCAATGTAATGTCTTTTAATGATTATTTTATAGATTACATGAGGTAACTAATTAAAAGCATGTATGGAATTTATACAATTTCAAGAGATTTATTTATTTAGTTTATAGTAGTTTATTTTAAACTAATTCAGAAACATTGTTCCATCCAATTATGGTTGCCATGACAACCCATATTAGCAGTTTCAAATTTCAATTCTTTATGTTCAACCCTGAAAGGTACTTATCATTTATTGTTGTATATGTGTTTCTTAATTTTCCAACAAGTAAATGCTTCTTTTTGGAACTGGAATATTTTAAAGTAGTATCTTTTAATACACTGAATACGAAATGTTATTTCTTCTAAAGGTTTTAAGTATCATTCTGTGCTCTAAGAGGGGAATTAAGAAAATCATAGCTATCTTATAAATGGGTTAATTTATCACATGTCATGTTGAAATAAGCTATTTAATCAACCCTGCATTACTTAACATACTTAACATGTGACATTTCTCACACATATCTTACTCAATTGCATTCATAACACTCTACCGCTAGTTATCACATCCTTCAGGAAATCAATGGTGAGTTCAAATCAATGTTAATCCCGTAACTGGTGATGTGTGTGAGGAAAATACACCAGGTTCATGTATGTTCAATCCATACAGGATATGGCTTTCTTCCTCCTGCAAGATAAATCATATTTGCCTCTAGATGATGTGAAATGAATTATTAAAATAACCACTATTTCCTCATA